CTGCAATTCGGGGAAGAACTCTACTACTTATCTCTTACCTAGAACAGGACCTAACGAAGGGATATTGAATATGGGGAGGAACGCTCGAAGTACATCGTGTTTCGTAATGACTTCGAAGCTAAGTGCCCCAAATGGGGCCAAGATGTGGAGATGGGCGACTTGGCGTCTTTCTGGTCTACAGAGACGGGGATTGTTGTTGTAGCCCTACACCCGGAAAACTTGCATCTGAAATCCATCTGAAGATCAGTATGTACTTCCGGAGATAATTTCTATGACTTTCTTATACCTTTATGACGCTTTCCGGTGATGAAGACTTGCGAGTTGGTTGAAGGACCAGCATCCTGGACGCTTTACAGATGAGATGATCGATCATTGAATGTTAGCTATGACCAGTAAGTTTATTATGAACCGTTTATTAGTCGCGCTGTGACCCATTTGTTATGTTCGTCAATCTCCCGTGGACTCACGTCGTCGCTGTCGTTCTTCGTATCAACTGGTACTTGAACCGATAAAGAGTCCTCGCTATCATGAACAACTGATCAACCGTTGAACAGCCCGAACCTACAGATACTTTTGCCATAGTAACACAACCTCAGGTTGTGTTACTATGCTCCTCACTTTAACCTTGCCCAATAAATTGACCTATCAAGTAAAGTATCGTTACACACGATTGCACACTTTCCCGCCGTCGATATCCCGGGCGGACAAATATCTCATGAAAGTGCAGAAACGCCTACGTCCAAGGCACCAGTATCGACAAGCCCAGACATCGACGGCTTCCTTATTCACTATGCTGACCTTGGGACTCATTTCTTGTTAATCGACTATACATATAGAAAACATTCCAGGTTTGTTATCTAAGCATGTTGGGTAGTTTGTTCGGTGAAAGACGTTAGCTATTTGTCAAGGCAGCTAGCTAACACATGGTTAGAAGAATCGAGTAGTAGCTAACATGCTGAATGAGTTGTGCGTGCGTGCGTGCGCGATGAGTTATTTTGACTGAACTACCGACGGTCCGAGGGCATCAGATGAATCAAACGAGTCCTCTATGACCGGAGGTTTGCAGAAAAATTGTAAAACTCGACTACTCCCACAGCTTCAAGAAATATGTTTGGTGCACGAGTTTGGTGCACGATTCGAGATGTATTGACTATCAAATGGCCATGACGATCGCAACTGAATATCACTTTTGATTATCGCATCTCCACAATGATCTGCACAAGATATACACAAGCCCAAATGGGTCAACTCACGTCTGCTACTGCACGAGAGTGCTCGGCTGCTTGTGCTAAATGCCGACTATGCACCAATGCGTTGAGCATCTGGTCACCGAAGCCAGTATCCTTCAGAGTTGCTGAAAACATTATATTGTTTTCACCAGCTTAGTTTCGGTGAAGAAGGGAGTCACTGAACTATGCTCCGATGTAAACTCCAAGAACAGTGTGCAACGTTCACAGGCAGTGTAGTCAACTCTCGGATGGCCGCGACTATTTTCTAGTTACCATGTCAGCGGGTCTCGCGAAATAGCATGAGGACGGAACTTACGAGCTAGGCTTCGTGACGAATCCTGTGTGTTGGTTAGATTCGCAGCAACAGAAGACTCTGATATGGAACCCCGAACCATGTGAAGCATCTAAGGGAGACTCCAGAAGGTGGCAGAGGACGGGCCATAGCATTGGTGCGAGGAAAGGTAGAAGGTGGGAAGCCCCACTCTGTCTGCCAAATCTCGACTTCGATCGAGCAAGTTTGCAATCGAGTCCAATCTGTCAAACTCGTAGTTCTTCAGATGCCTCAGGTCATCAGCTGCCCTATTCGCGTCCCTGACTACAAACGACCCGTTTTGACGGCGAAGAATCCCCGACAACAGCACGGAACACTGCCGATATGAAACTGGATTTTCGTTGCTTGTGTACACTGTACACTAAATGCGTTGTTGTTTTTGTAGGCATAAATACAATTCACGCGCCCACCTGTGAGCTGTAGACTATGATTGATCCCGCTTGGGTGCATGCCACTCTCGGCTCGAGAGGCGTCTTGCCGAGCTTCGAGTAACTTGTGTTCAACAATACCGAAAAGTTTGCATTTTGCTGACAAGGAGATTGGATACTGCTAGAAATGGTAAGCCACACGAATTGGCGACAGAACGAGAATTTGGTAACAGAACTAGAATAGACTTCGATTCGCTGCTTCTGCTTCCGAACGCCACCAAACTCACTTGCCATGTAATTATCCAACAAACGAGTCAATGTTCGTGTCAAGGCCTCTTCTTCATTAGCTGCTGCTGCAGTCTCGTCCGCCAGCTGTAGACTATGCGAGCCCGCCTTGTAAGCGTGGTGTCTAGGCTTATGAAAGTCTATGAATCACACGACGGTATACATACATCGCACTAGCTCTAGCGGATGCCGTCGATACCCAAGCAGCATCTCGGAAGCCAACACCTTTTCCCAAGTCCTGTCGCTAACTAGCTGCTAGGCCAGACGAAACCTCCCGGTCCTCACCGTAATATCAAAAGCTGAGCATTTATCATCGTGTGGCTGATGCAGGGTTGTGGGGAAATGCGCAGATGCAGTCATAACAAAGAACAGTATCCGGAAGCAATGTGACCAATTGCATGGATAGGAAAGTGCTTTATGCTTCCAGGCAAAATCGAAACTGTTGACTCACCGAGTCGCCCCATTCCAATCTTGGATCACAGCATAAAGTGTCATTATATTCGTATGTTTGACTAACATCGGGAGTGGGCGGCTACGAACAGTAGTGCTTTACCTAAGTCCGCTAACCGCACTTCTTTTGCGTTTCACTGTTCGTCATTTTGCCTTTGATATACTTCTTAAATGCGGAC